TATCTTGCATGATAATTATTTTTTTATTAAAACTAATTATAAATACTTTTTTATCCACGATAAGGATTATATTATAATATTTAATGGAAATTACAGTATATTTAAGTAAAGTTATATAATTAACTAAAAGCATTGATGAAACTCTTTGTATTCTTTGTGTAAAGAAGGAAGAGAGATGGAATGTTCTAAAGATGAGTCACTTCAAGATTTTCTTATTCTTTTAAATATGTTAAGGCACAATTCTTTTATTAATCTGGGATGATTTTGATCTTATTATGTTAATTAATTTTCAAATGGACTTTTTATTAATATATCATTATTGTCGCTCTTTTAATATATATTTAAAATCACCAGTCCATATTTAACGATAGCTGAATTCTGTCTGACACGAATGAGTTTTATGGGAAGGATCGAACATTTCAAACTGAGAATCGAGAGATTCCATTGGCGCACATAATAGAGTTGACTCGTATAGTTTCCTCGTTATATGGTCGTCATATTGTTTGTTTAATAGCAATTTTTGTACGTGCGTACGAATGTTCGATCCTTCATCGTAATTTAGATAAGATTGAGCTTCAATTGGCAGACTGATTGCGATGTGATAATAATTTTTTCATTAATCGCTGGGATTGTATTATGTATTAAACAACCGATCGAGAAAGTCAACGCTCACATCACATAAAGAGAGAAGAATATTATATTTTTTTTCGCATTTATTAGTCTATATTTTGACAACAAATTTTGGAAAATTTGATAATTTTTCTCGTTAAAATTTATATCAAGTAAAATTTATATCAAGTATGCAACTTTAGCGATTAGATATTATATAAATACGTTGCAATTTTATACAAAGAGAATGCTTTTTTATCCATGACAATAAAGTTTGAATTAAATTTAATTCAATTTTGAAGATATTAGGTTTTATAATACTGAAATGTGTGTGTGTGTGTGTGTGTGAGCGATACGTTTAGAAAAAAAAAAATATATTTTTCGCACGATAAACACGCACGTATCATTTTATAAATTTCGAAGCAAAATTTGTCCGCCTTTGTTTCTGGGATTTATTTGTTTAATGACGCGTGGGTTTGATTGAACATTATCAACCTGCGCCAGCCATGCGTGCCACGTTAACTATAAAATTCATGTCAACGCTCGCTCTCGTTGCCCGATCAATATCCGTTGCGAAGCGGTTTTCTCGCGCGCGCACATCGCTGTGTTTCGTTAAACAAATAATCCGCGAAAAAATCGAGGAAAGGACATGCGTGGAAACGAACGATGAATAATATTTTCGTTGTCAAAGTTGTCATGCATCGAGTCGCATCGAATCATTACGAAGAATCTCAAGATTAATCTCACTCTCACCAAGAATTGGGTTCCAATCTCGGAAATGGATATCTCGGCTATATAGAAAATATTGAACAAAAAGGAGTAACGGATTTTAAATCAAATTATGTTCAATGATCTGAGCATGAAAACGAAAAATTCTTCAAATTTTATGCAATTCATCGTTCCCGAAGAGCCGAACGCAAGGACCAAGTAATCAAAAAACGTCAGCTTATTCTTTTCACTGTAAAATTTTGGCAAGATATATTCGACTTGAAAATTACTCCAGTTTTCTCAGGATGATCTCTCCGACTGTGGTTTCCCTGGAGGAGCTGGTCGCAAGGACAAAGACCTTCGGAGCACGTCAACAAATCCGCGAGTTCCGTTTAAAGCACGACCGTATATGAATTTCAAGCACAACGTGCTCGCATAGTCAGGCATCTTATTTTCAACATTCCAGAAGTAATTCCATCGGCTTCTTACTCCAACTCAATCGGATACAATCATCGAGCAGTGAAGAGCTTTGAGCATTCTGAAAAGCATGTACGCGTAAAGTAGCGATTGAAAAACAGAATTTTTAATATTTTGAAAAAACTACCTCACACAAAATTATTCGCCAAATTATTTTGGTCCATTTTATATTTATCTTCTCGGAAAATATAATATTCCTCGATCTGTTATTTGAATTATTTAACGTGATCGTCGAGACGAACCGAATGGATCTCTATCGTCGACATAATTTTCATCATCACAAAGGCGATGAGAATTACGCAACCTGCCGATGCCCGACCTGCCGATGCCCGATGGTAGAATCCTTCGGCAAATTGTGACGATTCGAAGTCAAAGGGGTACGAGAGCTCCTCGGAGACAATGAACGATTCTCGAGGAACGCGTATTCTCATTCGCGTCCAGTTCGGTCGATCCGCTCGTCGCCTAGGAATGTTCGGCAGGAAATTTCCATTCCGGCGGTTCGATCGGAACGAAACGAACGGCTCGGGGCCCCGGCATCGTCCCAGCACGAGTCTGCTCGGCGTAAAGGCCACGGGAGAAGCCGACGGATGTCGGAGATGGCCGAAGCATCGTTGCGCCGAGCCACGAGCTACCCTCGGCAGCAGCAGCTCGCGGCTGGCTATGGCTATTGACCGAGCTTGGCGGACCGGCCGGTCAGCTGTGCGCCTCGCCGGCGGTGTGGTATTCTCCTCCGCGGCCAGGAAGAAGCCGTCCACATAGACGAGGCAGTGAGTCATTAGGACCGGCGTGGATCAGCAGTGGGAACCCGGAACACGAGCAAAACGTCCAGTCCGTCCAGTCGGGTCGAAGAGGATTCAACGAGGATTCTTACAGGAAAGGAATCCAACACGGCGGTGGTGTTCGAAAGATCGCTTGCTCCGGGCGTAGGAGATTCCTAGAGAGCCGCACGTTCGTATATATGTCCGCGAGTGGCGTCTAGCAGAGAGACTGCCTCGGTCCCCGTCGTCGTCGTCGTTGTCGTCGGTGGATCGGTCCGGGTGAAAGCCGAAAACGTGCGAACGTCGCTCGCTACACGCGCTGCGGTAGATAAAGTTGGAGTAGGAGAGTGAACCAGAGACGGAGCGGGAGTCAAAAGACGGCTAGAGAAAGAGAGAGGGAGAGAGTGAGAGAGAAAGACATCGAAAGAAGATAGAAAGAGAGAAAGAGAGAGAGAGAGAGCGAAAGCGAGGAAGGGTAGAAGGGAGGAAGGGAAGGGAGAGACTTGG